TAGAGTAATGAATCCATAGGCTTAGAAAGATAGAAATGTTGAAACAGACTTTTTATATATAACCAGCTCATCTATCATCTTATCCTGTTCCCCAAGAGGACCCAGAAGATGCTCTCTTCGTTGAGAAGTATATTGTAAGGGGTACTCTTCAAAAGCATTGTAATGGATGCCCTCTGTAGGCTGAGGTTGATGATGTGAAATGATGCCATTAAAATAGATTCCCTGATTTCAGTGGAGATGATGAGCATTTAATTGTCAGTGACAAGATAGACATGGTTCCATTATATGTAGCAGGGCCTATGTGGTGCTCAAAATGTTTCAACCCTCAACAAAATAGATAATGTATCATGGGGTCCATTGGATCGAAATGGACTGAGATCCAACTTGATGGAATAATCAAAAGAACTCTTTCTAGATTTGATAAACAGCAAGACACTGTGTCTCTACCAATTCCAGAGTTACTTTCCAGATTCCAAGCTTCTTACTTAAAAGGAAACCCTAAAATCCTTGGAGAGGGACACTTCAAGGACAGAGAAGAACATTTACTATCCCTTCTTTCTCTACAGAGGCCTTGACCACTTCAGGGTAGCAATGCCCCTGAGAAAGGGAAATATGTTGCCCTTTCAGGGACTGCAAGTGCTGGCTTTGACCTAACATAATCCTTGGGGACCCAAAACATTTTAATAGCCCACCAGTCAAATTAGGGACTGATGGTAGTGAGGCAAATAAATAGATTAATTCAAACTTGGCTTGATTCTATCACATTGTGGAGCCAGTAGGTCAGTAGGCCAACCTGTGTTATTTCCTCAGTTTCTGAGTATATGGTTAGAATGAGAAAGAAAAACAAAAATGTTTAGATTCTATGCACCAAAACTGTTACTAGACTATCTAGACCAAAATAATAACAATTATGATAATAGCTAACATTTATTGAGCACTAATTAGGAATTGGCAAAGAACAAGGCACCAGGAATTGATGGAATAAAAATTGAAATCTTTCAAGAAAGTGAGGCGGCACAGGAGACACTCACTCATCTATGCCA